TCAGGGCCCAAAAAAAAATATCGCTAATTAAAATTGCACATTGACTAGTATTATTAAAGTAAATAAATGGCTTTAGTTGTTGCCTTAACATTTCAAAAATAAAAATCTAACAATCAAGATTTTAGTCAGTTAACACAGGAAGATGGACGGTTGTGATAATTTTTTTTATATTTTGAGTGTTTAATTAAACTGTATAGTCTCAAGTTTTTTCAAGTAGGAAAATGGGCCCCTGTTGAGTTAAGGTGGTATACTACAAAAGGGCCCCATGTTACTTGTCTTTTTCAGTTTTATCCAGGACACATTTAGCAGCAGTTTCCAATCTGGGTAGGACCTGATTACAGTGCTCAGCCCTCTATGCTTATATGTAGGGATGGGGATTGAAACCCGGTTCTATCAAGGACCCGGTTCCACTTTTTTCAAAACCCGAAAATCAATAACGTTTGGGCTTATCGATACCACTATCGAGTCTGGTCGTTTTTTTTTTTTCTCCCGGAGGTCCTGTAACATAATTGTGTGTCCCTCAAGTCGCGACACAGCATTTAAATCTAATCAATCCAATCACTGCAGCGTGTCCACCAATGTTTTGGAATTAAATTGTAAGCAAACAGATATTAAAAGTAAAACAAGTAAAGTCTGGCAGTTAACTTCGCTCGCGACTCGGCTTCATTTTACCAAGCTCAAAGATAAAGAAGAAGCGAAATGCAACTTATGTTGCAAAATCATCTCTTTTAAACGGGGGGACACAACCTCAATGGCCAAGCACATTAGTATTGTGCATGAAATATAGGCCAAATGCAGTACCTTCCACCGTCTCCGGGTTGAAAAGACTCCTCCTCCTCCTCCTCCTCCTGCTGCTGCCGCCGCACCACAGTCGGGCCCGTCTTCATTATCCATTCAGAGTACCACTGGTGAGCGCGCACACAGACTTTGTAGCTTGTCCGGTCAGTTAAAAATAGTAATTGTGAAATCCGTGTTGTAATCGGCAGCATACAAGCTAGTTAGCTTGCAAAAGTAAATAAAGTTTCAGACGTGCTGCGTGATGATGTGTTCAGATTGGCTCAGTAAAACGAGAATTAGGTTATCATGTTGCTTTCAAGTGTAACGCAAAGAAAAGGGAAATTGAGTTTTTGGCGAGAAACATGAGTAATACAGTTGTATATTGCTCTAATTATTTTAGAATATATAATTAAACTACTGATGCCAACATTTATTAAAAATTACATTTAATTTAAAATACAATTATTTATTTGCTAAATATTTTCCTAATCACTAAAAACATGATGAAAAGTGACAGTAGACAATACATTAAAGCTACAGTGTGTAATTTTCAGCGACATCTAGCGGTCAGACTGCAGACTGCAGCAACATGAACGTCTCCCCCCCACCGCTTCTCCCCCCCAACAGTACGGCGAGCGTTACGGGACAAAATGTCTTCCACGACGTCCGCATCACCTACCTTCTCAAGTGATGAGGTTTGTTTACATAGATAATTTTACAGATAGTATTTCATTAGTCTGTGTAGGGTATAGATTTCATGTAGACTTAAGATAATAAATATACCCGTTATTTTTTCTACGTCGTTGTGACGTTTTGGTGAGCTGCTTTGCATGGTGATATAAACAGACGAAGTAATTGTAGTCATTAGTTTAACAGCGAGATTGTGTTCGCTGGAAGAATATATATTCCCCGTTTACAGAGTCCAAGTCTTGTTTGTGGCACGGGGGTTACAAGGCAAGGAAGAGGGAAAGGAAGAGGGCAGAGAGGCCGGGGTGAGCGTGCAGCTGGGGCCAGGCGAGAGAGGGGAGCCAGCGGGGTGAGAGCAGAGGAGGAAAGGCTTGAAGATCTCCAAAGGAGCCGGAGAGAAGTAACCGAGGTATATATCCAGAAAATTATTTTACAGAAAATTACTGAATCATTACCTGTGAAACGTCAGGGACGTTGCTGAATAAGTATACTGGAGAGTAACAGCATCATCACGCAGCATGTTATTGTTTTAGACAGGTCTGAGCATCCTGTACTCCAAAAACTGCAGTGATATTAGACAATTGTGTGTATAGGATTAATTACCTGTCCAAGAGAAAACTGGCAACTTGAGCGTCACTTTGAAAACCTTTTTCCTCCATCAGTGACTTCCATCGTGTAAATGCCGTGCCAATGTTGATCCGTGTTTTTTGTCGTTTCTTGTCACTCTTGCGTTTATTCTCGTCGTGTTTTCGCTTCTTAGATGACGGGGGTTCGGTGTCCGCCGCTTTTCGTTGTGATACAGAGTAGGCATGATCCTCCATTCGTCTGATGTTTGGCCACACAGTGCCAAACAGTTTGCAAAGTCACTCACGCCTGCCGCCTTGTTTACCTTTCTTGTTACCGAGGCGTAGTATACCTGCTTCTTCTTCTTCTTTGGTTTCAGGCAGACTAAACGCTTCTCAGGCATAATACTGCCATCTACTGTTCAGTACCGTCTCAGTTCATCTCTCTCAACTTGCCGTAGTTATTTTCGAGCGTCATGGGAGATCTCGCAATCGCTAGTTTGTTGCCTCTGCGCTGCCGTAGCGCAAAGATGTCAGCCTCCATGGCTGCGAGACCCGCTCCTATGTAATTATAAATAACGAATTCTAAGGCAACGCAAATGTTATGGTTAAAAGGCTGAGCTCATAGGTGATGATAAATAACATAGTTATGTATAATATATTAAATTTCTGAATTTATATGCCTGTAATTATTACACACTGTAGCTTTAACCAACAGTTGTGAAAATGTATATATTTTTTTAAACCAAAAGAAGACATTTCTTCAAAATATAGGACATTTCTTCAAATAATTTTTTCCCCCCACTTCCTTTCTGTCTGTTAAAACATATTGTCGCATCGTCTTTCCACCAAATAACAGAAAAGTATCGATAGTGGTATTGATAAAGACTCGGATCGATAAGCAGTATCGATAAAGGTATCAATATCAATAAATATTAACGATCCCCATCCCTACTTATATGGGTCTTAATTGATTGACACAATAAATAATTGAACTTAATTGATCTCACACTCTACTTTTAACCCATCCCCTTGGGGAGCAGTGGGCTGCCATTGTGGGGCGCCCAGGGAGCAGTGCGGGGTTAAGGGTCTTTTGCTCAGAGAGCCAGAGTCTCTGTGGGAGTGGGGCTCGAACTCAGAACCTTAGGATTCCAATTTTTATGCCATAACCCCCAATATGTTGTCGCTGTTATTTCTTTGACTCAAACGGATCTTAAACAAAAGATCTACTTTGGCTGCTAACCTGTTTATGATTTAGTCTAAAAGATCAGGATTTATTAAGAACATCGGGCAAACATAACATTCTACAGGGGGAACAAGCTCATTTCTGTAAAGTTAAATGTGTAAACCTCTCAAACATTTTAATTCTTCAATTCTCCTGTAATATACAAGTAGTTTCCAGAAAGACTGTATTATCATTAAAAAAGTAATATAATCTATTTGGTAACTTGAAGAAACTCAAGTGTATAAAAAAGGAAAAATAGCTTCCAGTAATGTAATGCACTTTGACTCTTTAAATGTTCTGCCTCAGCACTAAAAATAAATCAGAATTGTCTTTTTTTTTTTACGTTTTGTTTTTAAATGTAATTGTAAATACCCCCTGGTAAATTTCCAGTGACTGAAATTGTCACACAGCAGCAAAAATACATTGGCTGCTCTATTAAATACCTATCTTTTACTGAAGTAGACTTTAAAAGGAAAATGGCAAAATCAAGGTAAAGTCATCTTCTTCTGAAGTATCTGGCCATTAATGGCTTCTTTAGAGCTTTTCAAAAGCTACTACAAAAAAAAAAAAAAACTCAGATATGAGATAAAACTTTTCACGTCATGGTAAATACATTTTCACTTTATCTTTTTGATTTTACTACCGTCTTTGAGTAGGTTGAAATCCCCGATGGTTTTCAACAACATTCTTTTATATTTAATCTCAGCATGACTTGGATAAAGAACATTTTACCCAAGGAAAACACTGTAAATCACAGAAATAGGAATGAACGACTTGCACTATGGGTTGGGATTCTGGTAAGGCGAATAATAGGCTTTTTATTTTGCACCTACCTCTTAATTACTTTGCTGATCCATTAACTTAATTTGCTACAACAGAAGAGGCCGACCCTACTGCCTGAAAAATGCACTCAACTCCTGTTCTGAAAACGGTTTATATCCATCAATATAAAACACTAGGAACACATTTAGAGCATTTTCTTTTCCAGCAGCGTTAGGACAGCACTGGCTTCATAATGATTTCAAAGTGTTTTATAACACTGTTGCTACAGTAGAAGTACTATCCTATTGTGATGCACAATGCATCCTGGACGTGGTGGTGGTGGGGTGGGGTTCTCTAATGTTCCTTCCCGCTGGGCTTTTAATCTGAATTACAGCAGAAAAAAACATGAGGTTAATCACATTGGGAGACCCACTCCGGCTCTGACCACCCAGTATTTTTCTTTGCTTCGACTCAAGGTGGATTATTGATGATAGATGCTGAAAAGAATATGGGTCTGGGTGGGGGTGTGGAGGTCTTGCTGCTCCTTATCCTCTCAGATGGTTTTGACATCAATGCATTTACATTTATCACTGTAATGCACATTATAGTCACATTGTGCTCATTCAGAATTCCAACGTATGAAAAAGCTGCTTCCTGCGATACCTTCCCTTCCTCCTGATGAACGCCCAAACCCCTACTTTCTCACCGGCCTTATCTTTATTTCCTCATGTGCTTAAATGCTGGCAGACACATTGCATTTAGATGCAAGAGGTTATCTTTCAGCAGTGATGGGGATTGCAGGAGCCTAAAGGATTGCCACAGGTTAATGCTGTTTTTTTCTTTTTTTCTGAGAGCTATGTATTGCTGAGCCTTTATGAGCACAGCTCAGTTTCCCTTTGAAAAAACAATGCAAAGCCATAGATGGAAATGGACTCTAAGTGTGCCTTTTGTAAACCTTTTCTAATGTGTGTTTGTGTGTCTCACAGGGTGGTGGGACCGGCCGTGACCTTCAAAGTCAACCGCAACTCCCAGAACGTCAGCACGGCAGATGTGGCCAACGTGGCTGGTAGGTTCTCCTCGGCTCGGCTAATGTTGTCTTTATATTGACAAAGAAAAAGATGGTTCATTATAAATGGCTCTCTGCTGCACCTGGGGCCCATGTTGGGGCTCTTTTAAAACCAACGACCTACCCGTAGCATTTTTGCAGGGATTTTTTTAAGCCATAGTGTTCATATTCATACTTACCCTTTGTGATCAAGTGATACATTTCTTTTAGTTTGGTTTGCTTTTCATTGCAGTATGCTTAATTTTAATTGTATCGCTGATCAAACAATGGGGGATCAACAAATCTGAGGATTATTTTAATACGAAAAACAGATGACTGGAATTTTCATATTTATTTAGCTTGCCTGTGGGAGAGAAGAAAACTGCTTTATATCTGACAAAGTAAAATATCAGTCGGAAGTTTTTTCTCATTCATTGGCTTTTCCTTTATTTTTATCCGGTTATGTCATGTGTATACAGGGAAGACATCAAAACTATGAAGTATATGCCAATGTGAAATAAATCAAAACACATTTCATGTTTAGATTTTTTTTATGACTCTAAATAGTCCTCCTATGTTTTGATTACTGCTTCACACATTCGTGAGGTCATCACCTAAAATGGTTTTCCAACGGGTTTAAGGGAGTTCCTATATGAATTATTAAAGCTAAAAGAACTATTGAATGAGAAGCTGTGTCTAGCCCTTTGACCGTTGGTGTACATAACGCAATCAGTGTCCTTCATTTCTGCATGCTGTTGTTCACCCTTCGCCAACAGTTTAAGTTCCAGGATTGCATGGTTTGGGTTTATTTTGAGTTATTTGATTCACTTTTCTACATAAAACATAGTTCTCTCTGTTTACCTTTTGACAGTTGTTTTCTGGTCTTTTGCTCTTGCTTATTTTCTACTGTTTTAGTTGGTGATTTTTCCTATATTTTTGAATAGGTTCTCCTTTGTGTCTTTCACTGTTTAAACGTCTCCCTCAGCCAGCTTTCAGTAATTCAATCCCCCAGTTTTTTCCTTATTACCTGCACCTGTGTTCTTGTGATGGCACTCGCTGCAGATGCCGTGTTTTGTCTGAATCCACCTTTACAGTCAGCTTTTCAGAAACCTCTTCGTTGTCACTGTAATTTCATTTATTTGATAAATCTCAAAATATTTATCATGCCCCTCTGTTTAATGAAAATCGCACAACACAGGGAAAAATTAGTATACACTAAACATGGGTGTGACACTCTAACATATAAGGTCAAAATTTGGAAGTTAGAAAGATCACATTTACCCAAACTGATGCTTTTAGAGCTGGTAGTGTTTTTGGTTTGAAAAACCTTACATTGACATTTCCAAATATAAAGTACTTCTAAAAGCTCAGGTCATATACTTTGAAAAAAATGATAAACAGTTTCTTTGGGTTGGATTTAGCTTTTTCATGTTGGCAATTTTAATCCATCTAGAAGTTGGAGGTTAATCTTCTCAGTCAACACCAAGATTTCCAGTTTGAAAGCAGGCATTACTTTCATGGTCATCATAAACACATTTTACCAGTGGTGGAAAGTAACAAAGTACATTTACTTGATTGCTGTACTTAAGTCATTTGTTTGAGTATCTTTACTTTACTAAAGTGATTTTTGGGGGGTACTTATAACTTTCAACCCACTACATTTCAAGGAAGCTGCTAGTTACTTGCTACTTTTGCTCATCTTATCTTTTTAAACCATATTCTTGAAATGCCATTTTAACATGCCAGATAGCAGCCCTTAGGACTGAACCTGTACACCACTGCTTTAGAGATGTTCATGACATTACACAAATGTGAGAAACTCAGGGCAGATATTCTTTGTAGTTTATAGATTTTATTAAGGCATTATTTGTTGCCATGTGACCAAGTTGTTGCGTAAGATGAGTTGCTGGTCTCTGTCATAAGTCAACCCTAAACCTCTATTGCATAATGAAAGTGTGAGAAAATCAAAATATTCCAGTTTTGTTTTTGCTTTTTTTTTTTAGTTTTTACGGCACTAGTGGCTGATTTTTTCAACAGTAGGCTGAAAAGAAAGGGGGTATGAGAGAGCAGGAGATACATGCGGCAAAGGACCACAGGTCGGATTCAAACCCGGGTCGGCCGCGTCAAGGACTGAGGCCTCCATACATGGGTCATGCGCGCTAACTACTGCACCACCTGCACGGCCATTTTGGCTTTGTTTCTAAATAAGAATTAATAATAAAAATACCTGTTCTTTGCTGGCATTTTGATGCTGAAGTTCTTTACAAATGGTGTAGAATTTGTAGCAGGTGGTTCTACGCATCAATACATCAGGTGGTTTCTGAAACCCTTTAAAATTACTCTGGAAATTAAACTGCACATCACACAGAAATTTACTGATATTAGAAATTGAATTAGTATTTTTGAATACTTAAGTAGTTTTAAATCCATGTACTTTTGAATACTTAAGTATTTTCAAAAGTGAGTACATCAATTCTTGAACTTAAGTAGATGTTTGACCAACTAGCTTTCACATGTAGTTAAGTAAGATTTACCTATGAGTACCAATACTTGTATTCAAGTACTACTTTTGAGTACTTCGCCCACCTCTGCATTTTGCACACAAGAATTACAGTTTGCCCCAAATGGTGGAAAACTAGAATTTTTGCCATGAAGAGTGGTCAAATGCTGTGACCATGTCTGCTGATGGCTTAAAGCATTGGGCTGTGGTCAAAGTTGAACTTGTAAGAGGTATTTACCAAATACTTGGAGAAGATTATGTTAAATGGTATGTTCCGTTTTATTCTGATACATTGACTGGACCGCACTTTATAATGTAATTCTTGTAAACTGATATTGTATTCTAGAAAATATATTCATAAATAGTCATAAATAAGTTGTTTTACAAAATACATCTAAGATTATTATAGAAGATATGCCAGCTTGCCAGAACTTGCTAGAACTTCCTTGAACTTTTAATAAGGGAGTGCATCATATTAAAGAGGCAGTTGCACTTTTGAATATTTGATAATGTGCTCGCAATCTGCTGCATTTTTCCAGCTCAAATTCAGAGCATGAACATATACATCACAGATTGATTGCAAGTTACCTGGAGGAATAATACCTGAATCAGCTGCTCTCAACTTTTGAACACGATGCACTTACAATCAGGTCATGTTTTATGTTTGAGTGGTTACCTGAAGAAAGTTTTTGAGAGTTTTGCAATCAAAATGTATTCACTTTTCTTACATTTTTGTTTCAATGCTCACAGTTATGGATTTATACCTGTATAAAAAGGAAAAAAATAATACTGTTGATTTTTACAAAAAAAAATGTCATTGTTTCCTTATTTGAAACATGGATATCTTTCTAAACATTGCTTGAGATAGTTCGTTCATTTTTATCCATTTATTTTTTTGTACTTATCCAGTCCTGGTTTTCTCAGATTGAACTACTAGAATCTATTTAAATGATGTTTTTTGTTTGTTTTGTTCCTTCTTTGAGCGATTGCTCTGACTTGGCACTTTTAAGGACAATGTCAAGGAGCATTCACACTCCTGGTCAATCCCAGGAAGTGGTTCAGAGATTTGAAAAAGTGATAAAATTCACTACTTCTCTTGTCTTGGTTTGCTTTTACCCAAATAGTTTTAGAACTGGTTAAACAAGGTCATGCAGCAAAGGGTCCAAATAAACCATACAGTAACCATGCTAGGGTAGCTTCTCTGGTCCGTTTCTGCGTCTAGCATGGATTAACATTAGAGAGATCTTATCTTATGTTGTTTGAAAACCCTAGGTAGGTTTATCATGCATCTTAGAACACTGATAAATTATCATTTGAAGTGCAAATGTATTCAAAAGATCTTGTAGAGATGATGGTATTAGGTTAATATTGATCTGACATTGCTTAGTTGATACCTAACATCCCAAATGGGTCTGTGACCTCTTACCAACATGGAAGTATTAGATCCAAGTGAACAGTTGGTGAGCTTTGAGGAAGAAATGAATACTTACCCACAAACAGATGTTTTTTATTATTATTAATTTATTATTAATATTTTTAAAACTCTTCACCACAGAACTTTTCTTAATTTTATACCTTGACTTTCTTTTTTTGAGTGAAGCACATTGCTAACTGCACCCTTCAGCCTGTCTTTGAGTGCATTTGGGAAACAAGGATGTAGATGTTACTTCATTTTCCTAAACTGAATTGTTTTTCATAAGCCTGAGTAGATGTGGCCAATTCTATGTCTGTACTGAATCACCCATATAAACCATTAGATTCTCTGAAAGTATTCATGATGCTTTTCCACGAACCAAAGAAACTCAGGTAATTGAGCTCTCCATTAAAGGGTACCAAGAAAATATCCTCCACAACAAACAGCCTCAGCCATTCATGCAAGATTGGATGTGTTTATTCTTTCATGCCATTGATGTCACATTCAAAATATACCTTATGAATATTGCAGCTTAAGTTAATTCATAATGGGATCGGATCATATTTCATATCTGTAGTTTTTCTTCTAAGGTGGGTAGAATATTCTACTGCTGTAGATTATCTACTCCAACTTTAACTTCTTGCACAATCAAACATTGCGATCTACAAACCTTGGATTCAATGTCTTGATACCAGAACTACGTTTACCTAGATCATGCCACAGCAATCAGTCTATTCCACCTCTGACATTTAAGGGAACCTCTGTCTTTTAAACACAGATGATAGATCTATGGACTATGCAGAACATGTCCATTGTGTCTTTTGTGCACAAATCCCCTATTTTGGGCTCCTTTAAGAATAAGATGTTTTAGAGCTCTGTCATGTTACATCAATATGCTCTAGCTGGTCAACCACCACAAACAGGGTTACTGACCCTTAGCAAGATGCAGAAGCACAAGAATTGCAACATCCTGCACAACCACCAGGGATGCAGTAAGTGGTTTCTGTTTGGTAAGCACCCTATTTCTACGTAGCTACCTTGGAGAAGGTTCAAGAGCTATGTTGAAAGCCATGTTTCTTCAGTGTTAACTGCCTAAGCAAAATTACA